ATTGGTATCACAATGTGATTCAGAATCAAGTGTCAGTGCAGTCAGTGGGAAGGTGACACTTTATTCATGCTGCAGTCTGGCTGCAGGTCAACTGAGGCCGAGTTTCTTCCGCCACAGAGTGTGTGTGGTGGAGTTCAGTGGTCCACTTCACCAGCGTTAGCCTTTAACAAAGGGGTCTGCTCACTTTGTGTGTCATCAGTGTAAATGTGTCCCAGCCTGGAGAATCACATTTCATGATCTTCTGTCTGGGTCTCAGTCTCTGTCCCAGGAGGCCCCGGCCAGGGTCAAAGGTCGGGCTCCGCCAGCTGACTGGCCCCAGCAGGGGGAGCTGGTGTTCAGGGAACTGGAGATGAGGTACCAGGAGAACCTGCCCCTGGTCCTGAACAAGATCTCCTGCACCATTCGGCCCAAAGAGAAGGTCGGCATTGTGGGCAGGACCGGGTCAGGTAGGACAGGGTTCTGAGTCTATGGAGGTGAAAGGTTTTAACAAGACTAGGAGACATCATACCTGTCTGTCTGCCTGTCTCACTCTGCTTGTCTCTGTCTGTCTCTATGTCTCACCCTTTGTCTGTCTCTACCTGCGTTTGTCTCCCTGCCTGTCTCTGTCTCTCTGTCTGTCTGCCTGACTGTCTGTGTGCAGGGAAGTCTTCTTTGGGTGTGGTCTTGTTCAGGCTGGTTGAATACTGTGGAGGATCCATCCTGATCGACGATGTCGACATCAGTGACATTGGACTGGCCGACCTCCGCAGCAAACTGTCAATCATCCCCCAGGACCCGGTCCTGTTCAGCGGGACGGTCAGGTAGGTGGGAACACCTGAGAACACCTGGTGTTTACAGCTGCTCAAAGGTGTGGAAACAGGATGACCATGATCCTGAAGCGACCCCGAGACCACATCAGATCACGTGATTGTGTGCATGTGTGTTTCCAGGTCTAATCTGGACCCCTTTAACCAGTACATTGAGGAGCAGATCTGGGATGCTCTGGAGAGGAGTCACATGAAGGAGTGTGTGAGTACAAACACAATACTTTCAAGTATTTACAGAGTATTCTCATAGGAATACACAGGCTGTTATTGCAGGGTGTAAAACACTAGTTTTCACCTACAGACCGATGATGCAGACATCAGGACTGATCCCTAGGTTCTCCTGTGACGTTTTGTAGCTTTCAGACTCACACAGTGGCTTGAAGTAGTGAAAACGGTGTCCCTGTTGAGAACAGAGACCGGGACATAAATAGGCTTCGGACGGACTTGCACTTGAACTCGGAGACTAGATTTGACCCAGACTAACAATCTGTAACTCATGAACGTCTCTGGTTGGCAACAACTGAAAATATAACTGAGTGTTATTCCAACCAGCTTGTCCCCCATCATCCTTCCCAAACTGGTTGTATGACATGTGCATATCTAGAGGAAACTGACACACTGTGAAGATTTTAGAGTTTTTAACCTTTATTTTTTCAGGGTAGTTCCACTGAGAGGCCTCCTCTCTTTTGCAAGAACACGCTGAACACATTCAACCTGTACAGACTGACCTGCTGGTCACGGAGCTGGTCACCTACTGGGGTTAACTGCCTTGTTCAATGGAATGCAGTGGTGTTGATGAGGGCGGGGCAAGCACGGCTTTGTCATCGACCCACTCAGATTTAATCTTTGTGTTGAGAAAAGAGGTTCCCATGCCTGTAACTCAGCGGAATGCGAAGTGTTGACAGGGTCTGTTCCACTTTGCTTTTCTACTCCCTGTTTATGAGGGCGGGGCTGCACTCCTCTCTACACAGCTGAACAGAGAGCATCAAGTCAGCGACCACAATGCTCGTTGCTCATGGTGCAACAAAATCAGCCAGTACCAGAGACTGTATGAGTGGTTTATCAAACAGCTGCTGAACAAGCAGAACACGGACCTGCAGAAATATGACGCCTGTGAACTCGCTGAAGTCCCCATTTCACCTCTAAACCATTCAGTATATGTTCACACATCGTACATGTAATGACATGGGAGTGGGAACAAAAAACAGAACTTGCGATAAAGGGTACACGCTCGGTTATACGCCTGTATGGAAAGATCCTGTGCTTCACACGAGGATTAAGTCACAGGCTGTAGAAGTAAGAACCTCTCAGCTCTTTGTAGTCCTCTCACTGGAAACCAATTCTCTTTTTGATTTCTGTAAAAACAATTTGTGACCAGATGTCACAGCAAGCTTCTGAATATCCAAGTGGACCATTAGTGGGGAACCTGGACCAGAAAGTAGCACAGTGCACCGCCAGTCTGACTATCACCTGTCTCACTGACTTCCTGTTTCTCTGTCAGGTGTCCCAGCTGCCCCTGAAATTGGAGTCAGAGGTGGTGGAGAATGGAGAAAACTTCTCAGTGGGAGAGAGACAGATGCTGTGTGTCGCCAGAGCTCTGCTGAGGCAGTGTAAGGTGAGGGAGAGACGGGTAAACTCAGACAGAGACAGACGGGTCTGAGAGATACAGGTTCATGCTCCCTGTCTCCCCCTGGATCCTGACATCTGATTGGCTGGTTTTGGTCTCAGGTGCTGATCCTGGACGAGGCCACAGCAGCCATGGACCCAGAGACAGACGCTCTGATTCAGGAGACCATCAGGACGTCGTTTCAGGACTGCACCACCCTGACCATCGCCCACCGCCTCCACACTGTGCTTGCCTCTGACCGCATCATGGTGCTCAACCAGGGACAGGTAGGCCACTCCGACCAATCAGAGCTCAGTACCTAGACAATCAGGTGTGTGGTTTTATCAGCCTGTGAAAGATGAAGTTTGTTATGAGAACAGAGAAGAAGTGCAGGTAAATATGATTTCTTTCAATGTGATCGCTGCAGGTGGTGGAGTTTGACGAGCCGTCCAAACTGCTGGCCAATGAGAACTCGCGGCTGTGTTCGATGCTGGCTGCTGTGGAAAACAAGATCTCTGTCCGCGGATGAAGACTGAGGTGGAGGCCAGGGTTTACATTAGGTCTCCTCTATCCCAGTTATCCCAGTAAAGTCAGTAGAAATCATCAGCTGAAGAACACTTGCAGGACCTGTTTGATCTGAGGTGCTCCTCCTGTTCCTGTACTGTAAATTTTAAAGATGAAAACTGATCTCAGAGCTGCTCTGAAGTTGTTGATGTCATCGTCATCTCACCGAGTTACTGTTGCTTTTTTGCAACATGAAGACGTTTTCTGTGTTTATGACCTGATATGAACCAGGTCCATAGTTTTTCTTCTTCATATGTTTATTTGTTCTATTGTCATAAAGGCATTGTGAGTTACTGTGTGATGTTTAGAAAAGGGGGGAGGTTGGTTAAAGGACAGATAACTGACCTCTTGACCTCAGGCAGCCCACCACTTTGTTTACATAGTCTGCTTTAAAGGTTACATGACCACATCCACCACACACAGCGGTAACTTTAAAACGTTAGGTTCAGCGTTAGCTAGCTTACAGCTAACTAACTTACTGCGTGCTGTTAGCTTAGCTGATGGTTAACTTCTCAGTACAATGGTGCAGGTTACTGTCAGAGGTTATGAACATATATAATAAATATATTTTTCTTTTTTGGTTTGGAAGCTGGTTTGTAAATATTATTTCAAATACCATTTTTTTGCAGCATGTGCAACACACATTTTGTTAATATTATTATGAATGTTTTATTTGTTCCACAGTAATAAAAGCAAATGCTGTATTTAAAGGTGGACGGTGTGAAGCTCCCAGAAGTCGATCACACCCTGATGACTGGTTCCACACTAGGTCATAAATCCCGGCCCCTCCACATTAGCTGATGGGAGATGAGCCAAAATAAAACCTAAAACTACCAATCAGATAAAATTTTCCCAGAGGGTCACATTTGGTAGATATTCTCACACTGGTGTGTGTTCAAGTGGGTGTTTTTCTGTTCAGTTAGCTTTTAATAAACTATGTCATGATATATAAAGGGGTGTATTGAGTGTAATTTGACAGCTTTAATTGGTGGACTGATATGTTACTCAGCTACTTGATCTCTACTGCGCAGAATCTGGTTGCAAAATGTGTCACAAAAGCAAAATGTATTCACAATATTTTGGTTTCACTTTTGCATAGTGGCAGGGAGTGGTGACACATCATCCATATTTATATCCAGCCTCTGAAATGGACCATGTGATGGACATTGGACTGTGTGTAACAGTCAAACTATAGCTCTGACTACTGTGCATGAAGAAATACTACCGTAGGTTTGACGGAAGTCTGAGTTCATACTGTTATAAACATGTAGTAAATTCTGACAGCCAGGACGGACCTAACTGATCAGCTGTCTGACTCTCATGTTTTACATTCTGTCATAAAACTACCCAAATGTTAAAATTCTCAAACTGAAGATGTCAGTTTCTACACTGCACGCTTCCTGTACAGACAGGAAGTTAAAGTGGGAGCACTGCTTTGATAATTGGTGAAATGTCCCACTGAAATGAGTCCAGGCAGACGAAACATTTGGAGGTCACATTATAGAGGTGTTGTAGGAGTTAGTTGGTGTGAGAAAAGCTACTGAAGAGCTCTCAGACATGTTTGATGAGATCTTCTCTACGTCTCCCAGCCTGAGTTCATCTGCAGATCAGTTGTTCTACATTTTCATGGAGACTCAGTTAAAGTGAATCGACATTGTTCAGTTTGGTCTCTGATCTGTGGAATCTTGTTTTGGACTGAAGATGAATCCTGACGAAGGAGAGCAGTTAGTGTTTTCTTTTAGAAAAATGTGGTTTCTTCCAGTCACTGTGTAAACTGCTGTTTGTTGGCTTGAAATGTTTTTATGCTTTATTTAATGTCTGCTGCTGTCACTCTGTAAAAAGAGCTCATTACTTTTACCTTGATGTGTTGACATCATTTCTGCTGCTGTCAGATGTCTGCCTTTGACAACCTGATGGTCCAAGGACCAGACTTGTGTCAGACCTGTCTCTGCAGCTTCACCACCAAAATAAAAGCCTGGCTATAAAAAAGAAAAAGAACAGTTTTCCTTCAAAGAGCTAAATGAGGATCAGCTTGTGATTTGATGTGAAAACACAGATCAGTTCTCAAATGTCAGTGTGTTGTCCATTGTATTTTTCTAACAGCCTTAGCATGACTGATAGCGGCCTTGTTCGCAGGTTGGTGGCCTGTCAATAAAACTATTTTAAGACCAAAACTTTGTATCACTTCCTGTTGTTTCTGCTGCTCAGTGAAACGTTATTATTTAATGTTAATTTTAATGCTTGTCTCATGGTGCTGACCCGTTTTGAGTGTCTAACTTCATGATGATTGTTTAAGACTGAGCTGCACTCGTGTTAGACAACATTATGACAAACAGTGACGGCCGAGTGTCAGCCGGCATCCAGACGTTTGTGTGTGCCACAGTTATGTTTGCTTCTGCTCTTTAGGTAGGTGACATAGAAAGCAACAGTGCATTAACATTTAGTCATTTGTTCTGCTTCCTGTCCTAAATCAGCTGAACATGTAACTTCTTCAGGGGTGGATGAGCTCTCTCCAGCTCCGGGGGCACTCTCTGTGTGGTCTTTGAACCATAAACTGCTTCAGTTTTGTTAGGTATTTTTAGTCAGATAGAAATTGGATAGATACTTTATGTATTAGAAATGTTTAGTGGAGATAGGATGTCTAGTTAGACTGTTAAATGCTTAGTCATGCTTATGAGTTTCTACAGGGTACATCTGGGCAAGGATAACTAGAGAGAAGAGTTGATGACTGTCAGCAGACAGGGTGTTTAATATTATTATTATGACGTGTATAACTGTAGCCTTAGCCATAATATATTCTTATGTTTAAGTCACGACATGTTACTAGAAGTCTGTGAGAATGTTTTTAGCTACACACCACTTAATCAACAGACACACACACATTCACACATTGATTTTCTTCATGTTTTGACTACTGCTATGACCAGCTGCAAAGCTGGTAACAGAGACGTCACGGTTTGGCGTTTCTGTGTAGTATGGGGCTAGCCCAACCTAAGTGATAAATGTATAGGGCCTGCTCGGTTCGGGGGTCTTTCATCTTTCATCTGCCTGCGTGCATGTTGGAAGTTCAAGATACCTGAGCGTGTAATGTTAATTTTTACCTGTGTTCATTGAATAAATCAGCACTGTATTGAAGCTACTTGGACTGTCTTGTCTCTCAGAGTTAGTATGGTACAAGAACTGGAAAGACTTCAGTGTGGTTCAATTAAATGAGGTTAATGTGAGTCCTGCTGCTGACCTTTGACCCGGCTCTGTGCAGCTCTGCAGCGCCCCCCTCCGGCCTGAACAAACTTTTTCCTGCTACTTCCTGTTTTGTCCGGAGCAGATCCTCCGGTGTCCTCTCGAGTGTCCTGTGGTGTCTTCTGCCTCTTTGTTGGATCAGACTCTGCTCTTTGTTTCTCCTCCTCTGTCCCCCAGCACCGACACACACACACTAACACCAGCTAGTGGGAAAACCACCGGGAGGATCTGGACTCAGTGACCGGGACAACTAGCAGGGAGCCCGTCTGAGTTCACAGGAGGAGCCGGTGTTTGTCTGGTTCTTCTGCTCCGGGTCCTGATGGATTTTACATAAACTGTTAGTCCTCTAAAGCCACTCATAATGCGCTCTCTGGTGCTAATGCTAATGAGACTTTCCGCTAATTAGCCGTCTGTGCTATCCAGGTTGGTTAAGTTACTTAGCGCTGTCGCTCTTTTGACCTTTGACTTCGCTTAAAGTGCCTCTTTTTCAAAGCTGGTTTGCTGCTAAAGCTAAAGGTGCTAATTTACACAGCAGCTAGCCTCGGCTGGCAAAATGGGTTTTAATGGTGAGTTCACAGGGTTAGACCCGGTTCTTAGGTGTCGTTTTTACCGTTTAATGCGGGTTTTGAGTTCAGTTAACTTTAGTCGGTTTTTGATTTGGTTTCAGTTATTCAGTGGTTTAAAATTCGGTTTAAATGTGGACTAAATATGGTAAATTGGCTAAAACTGAGTTTTCAGATTGAGTTAAGAGTTGATCCACTGCTCCTGTGTTAAACTGAGTCATAACTATAAATAGTATTGGGTTTAAGTTTAGGTCTGAGTCACAAGTGTCCTTACTGGTGTTTATTTACCATTAGAAGTTAGACCAGACTTTTCTTTAATGGATTTTGAATGTAGTTTGGCCTGGATTACATTTAGACAGTATCTGTTTAACTTGGTTTCATTCTTCTGAGTTTAAAGGCTGGTAAAAAAAAGCCCAGTGTTAAACTGGGTCATAAATGTGGTATCTACTGGGTTTACTGGGGTCTACAAGCAAGTAGTCCTGGGTTAGACACAGTTCATTTCAAGTGTCCTTACTGGTGTTTTCTACTGGATTTGAGTTGAATCAGGTGTTTGTGTAATGTTATACACTAACAGCACTCGTCTGATTGTCATTTAAAACTAGTCTGAGTTTGGTTACACTGAGGCTTAATCAGGCTGAACTAGTTTGATGACTCAGCTAGTCCAGGTTTAAACTCAGGTCTGGATCACAAGTGTCCTTCTTTCTTTGTGGTTTAGAGGTTTTGTTACACTGTGGCTGAGTGGGGACTTGAAGGGCTGACCTGGCTTACAGAGGGCGCAGTGTAGACAGCCTCTGGTTTAAAACTGGTTTTGAATGTGGACTGTCCTGACAGTGCTGGCTCCTCTGCTTCTTATTGGATGCAGTTAGTCCAGGTCTAAGCAGGGTTTAGTCCCATGTTTAGCTCATGATGGCAGAGCTCCACCAGACTCCCACCTCGCTCTGCTGCTGCCGTAAATCCCCGCCAGTCTCTGGGGCCCAGTGTGTGGGGGACTCCAGTCGGCCATCACCGGGTCCAGGTCCCGGATCCCCGCGGTGCCCCCTTGTGGACGTGGCCTCGGCATCTAACTTCAGGTGCTTTCAGCTGCGACACTTCCACTTGGACCTGCGGCTGAACTTTGCTGTGAAGGAAATGAGCGGCTGGCTGGTCCTGGACCTGGTCCCAGTACAGCTGGGGGTCCACACCCTGGTACTGGACTCCCACCCAACCCTGCTAATCCACTCCATAGATTGTAAGGTCCCTGGGTCTGGAGAGGAGGAGCCTGTCTCCCTCACATACCGGGTGGACCCATTCACGGATTACGGATCCTCGCTCAACATCAGCCTGCCAACAGCCGCCGTGACACTGGGACAACTAATCCAGATCACAGTCCGCTACACCACCACAGACGGACCGGCGGTAAGGAGACCCCCATGCACACTCCTGCACTTAAAGGAAGCATCCACTAAACAGTGGCTCATTTCTATTATTGATTAACCTGCTGAATAGTTCCTGCAGTAATCAATCGATTGTTCAGTTTGTAAAGTGTTAAAAAAAATGTCTGTATTCAACAAACAGCTGCACAGGTTGAGAACAGCTGTTGGTGTGTAGAGTGTCTGCAGAGACAGAGTCGCTGGTCTCTGCTCTGGTCACGCTGCTCCACCAGCTTCTCGCTGCACAGAACAACGTGTTGGAGCCGTTTGTTAGAAACAGGCGGCCTCCCTGTTTCCTGAGGAGGAAACCTGGGGAGTTCGCCCTGTGAGCCACACGGCTACACTGGGGTGGTTTAATAGCTGGTGGACAACAGTGGAGGTCTACAGCACATAGCGATGAGCTGAACCAGGGTCTGGGCTCAGATTGCGGTGAGGACACCACCTTCACTGGTGCTGCTGGTCTCTGGGGAATAACAAACAGAATCATCGGCTGCTTCCTTTAATAGTTTAATGTCCACACAGAACATCTGGAGCAGATTCATTTAAATCTGACCTAAAGAGAATTGACAAGGTCTCGTTGTCCTGTTTCTGTGGTGTAAACACTGACGTGTTGAACGCCAGCTGCTGAATGCGATGATGATGATGCTGTCTCTGTGTCTGCAGATCTGGTGGTTGGACTCGGAGCTGACCTGTACTCAGTCCCGGCCTCTGGTCTTCACTCAGGGTCACTCAGTGTGTAAT